AAAAAATAATAAGACAATGATATATTTGTTGTTGATGTGAGAGTTGTATAGAAAAATTGTCCAAGCACCATAAAAAAGAATTCAATAAAAATGTTATCAAATCAATGCATGGTGTTCATGTGACACCCAAATAGTGAAACTTGGAAGTTGTATTTGAGTTGGATTTTTGTTCTTGATGGTGGTGGGGAAAAAAGGTGAAGAGTACGTTTTGCATAGAGGCCTTTTGTATTGGGTATCTATCTAATTCATTCTAATCTCAATTACCGTACACATGAAAATGATTTGCAAATTGTTTTCCTTTTATTCTTATGTCAATTACCATCCATTGTTACATAGCATCATACTTATCTAATTTTACTATTTTGTATTAGAGATGGCAACGGGGTGGATCGGGAACGGGTTTTATTATACTCGCATCCGCCTCCATGTAACACACTTGTCCCTGTCCCCAAACTCAACTGGAGGTAAAACTTTATCACCCAGACCCGCCCTGAGTAGAGAACAGGTGCACTCCCTCTTGCCCCGCCTCCACCCGAAAAAAAAAATTAAATTTTTTTAATTGCAATAAAAATTAATAATTTAATTAAAAAATTAATTATTTTAATAAATTATTTATTTATTTAATTAAAATTTTAATTAATAAATGAATATTAATTTAATTAATTTAATTATTTTAATTGTAATAAAGGTATTAATAATTTAATTAAAAATATAATTAATATATGAATATTAAAATAAGTAAAATAAGAGAATTAAACTAAAATGTATTATTCAGGGGCGGGGTCGGGCCGGGCCGGGTGCGGGCGGGTCTTAGTGTCTCCCCGCACCCGTACCCGCTTAAATTGGGTTTTCTCCGCTAATTTCGGGGCGGGTCCAGACGGACCCCGACGGGTCTGAGTTTTTTTGCCATGCCTACTTTGTATTGCATAGTTTGAAATTTCATTGATCCCACAAGAGATTAAATGGTGACTCTTAACCGTTCCTTCTATTTCTCTTTGTTTTCTGAGCAATTCTTTTTGTTTTCTTATTTTCTTAGGTCAATTATTCATTTTTTTAGTTGTAATAATTTGTTTGTGTCATATTTAGTTTTATTTAGGCCTAACACGTATACTTGTGTGCTATTTTAAATTTTAAGTGTGTTGACAAGTTTCAGTCAATTACAAGCTCTCAAGCTATCATTTGGTTTATGACTTGACAAATGGTTTGTTTATCTTTCAAATAAGTACTACTAGAAAGTGTACCTAATGTAACATGATATTATTTAGGTGTCTGCGGATTGTTTTCTTTTATTAGTAAGACATTTCACTACGCTCCACTTGCATCGGTCCAAAAACATCTGAATGCACCATCTCAAGATGACACTTGGTTTTGCATCCTGAATTTTTGCTAAAGTTGTCTATGTGTTGCTTGGTCTGCACCCACTATTCACATACTTCAATTGGTATATTGATCAATGACAATCCCATAACCATGTTATTTTTCTGCATAGCATTGAGATCTCTGAAACTCAATTGTCCAGACCTATAGTGTCAAATTCATTCCTCACTACTAGCTGCAATCGCAAGACATCTATGCTCCAATACTTTCAGTTCAATCTTGAAAGTTATGTTCTGAGACATAGGGGCCTTTAGGATCAAACTTCCATTTGCATCCATAACTTTTAGCACTTTGTTTTTCCATGTAAATCTTGTAATTCTTTTCAAACAATTGACTAATGATTAAAAGATTAAACTTGATTCCAAGAATATAAGATACGTCTTTAATCAAAGAATGTTCACCATTCTTTCGCTAGATTGATAGATCATCAATCTCATATGTTGCTAGTATGTTTTCATCCGCGAATTTCATTTTTTTATAGCTTGATTAATTTTTACAAATCAATTTTTCCTTCCCATCATGTGATTTGAACACCCAGAGTTAAGGTATCATTGATCGTTGTATTTTGCATCTTCTCTCGTAGTCACGTCATATTTTCAACTAATGGTAACCGATTAATATGGGCTTGTAACATATTATAACTACCTTCTGCCACTTCTGGTAATCGGTTACTAGTAGATGGTAATCGATACCACTGCTCACTGTGTTATTTTCAGCTTTAGTGATCACCATCAACAGTGTACTATCATCATCCTCTTGTTTTGCAAACTTTGCTTCAGCTTCTTGTGAATCATTCTTGTTGACATTGTATTCACGAGCAAAATGTCTTAGTTTTTGACAATTATAGCATTGAACATTGCTTTTATCATCTTTCTTTCTTCCTCATCTTCCTCTATTATTACCACATTTGTAATTTCTTGATCCACCATCCCTGTTGTAGCTGCTTTCACCCTTTTGAAATATTGAATTCTTGGAATTTTGGTAGGCCCTTCCACCATTATTTTGGTAGTTTTCTCTACTGTTAGTCACGGACCACTTTCCCTTCACCTTCTTGTGTTTTCCAATGAAACATGCCTGCAAAGAAATCTCAACATTTTCCTTGTCAACATTCATCTCCTTCATTCTACTCGTGAGCCTCAGGATAAATTTGAAACTCTTCTTTGTTCATGGTTGAAAGATCATTTGACTCTTCAATTTGAACCACTACGTTATCTAATCTTGATGTTAAAGATATCAAGATTTTACCAACCACATACTACTTAGTGAGTGTCTCTCCACAAGGCTTCACTTGATTCACCAATCTTGTGATTATTGTAGTAAATTCACTAATGGTGATCACTAAAGCTGAAAATAACACAGTGATCACCATTATTAATCACTTCAAGAACATCTTGATAACCAAACAACACCATCATGTGTTTGTAGTAAATTGACTCTTCCATTTGAATCAATTTCAGCTGCCTCTTGTGAGTTTGTAACTTCACCACCTTTGCTTTATCAACTCTTTCATAAATTTTCTCTATAATTTTCCAAGCTTCTTTTTAGGATGTGCATTCACCAACATTCTCAAAGTTGTCAATATCAACATATTGATGAATAAGATACAAAGCTTTAAAATCTTTCATATTCTTTTCCTTATGTGCAATCGTTGTCATTTTTACAAGTGGATTAACACCATTATTAATCACTTCAAGAACATCTCGATAACCAAACAACATCATCATGTGTTTGTGCCACTTATCATAATTCTTCGCATCGAGAATCCGAATATTTGCAGGGATATGTTCAGTGGAGATTGAAATAATTTTTGCTCACTAAATGTTTGATCAGAGAACCAATCTCTTGTGTGTGTGTGTCTGTGTTTGTGTGTGTGCACGTGTGCGTGTGCGTGTGCGTGCGTGGGAGAGAGAGAGGGGGGGGGGGGAATGGGATAAAATTATGGTCATTATCATTAACAACCCAAAGTGGGGTATTTATACACTATTACATAACAATGTAACTAAACAACAAGAAAAAATGTTCGACCTCGTAAACGGTTATGCATTTCCTGTAACTTATTACGCAAAGCTATTGCCTTGAGTGGTAATCGATTATGCAAAATTGAAAAACCGATTACGCAAAATTTACTACCTAACTACTGAAATATGTAGCAATCAGTTATGTGCCTTGCTCTACTTAAATTACTTTTTTCAACAAATTAGAAAACAATTAAAACAATTTTTAATAATAAAAATTATACATAAATGAAAAGCAAGCGAGCAACAAGATATGTTGCAACTTTTTTTGGATGAAAAAATCAATCATCTTAAAAACTATATTCATTGTTCTAAGAGACACAACATTGTTGTGTATGAATCTTTATACTCTCTATAAAAGATTCACTACTTTTGCTGTTAAAAAATCAAAAATATAAAAAAAAAATTGTATGAAAACGTATTGATTGTTGGACCACGATTTTTCATGTTTGGGCATTTTCCTTGAAACGGTTTTGAGAGTTGTTGTCTTCAATAAAACTTTCATTCATCAATCTCACTAATTGAAAAAGTTGTTTTCCTTCTGCTCACTTCATTTGTACACCGAAATATCCACTAGCCTAAATATTGATCTCCTAGATCAATAAAAATTCACATGTGCATAATATTGAACAATTATTATAATAAATGAACTTCCTAAAATTCGTTGAAATCCTCTAGTTAATGATTTTGCAACTTGTATTTAAATTCTGTATTGCATAACAATGCAAGAAATGAAACAGATTTTTTGTATCATAAATAAAAGTATTAGTCACTTTTTGTTTCACATCTCATATTATATAATTAATTCATTCTGCCGGAAGTTGGAAGTTTTGGTTCATGTTATTCCATGTATATTATATACAATGTGTTGCCTTAATATAAGGTATTATATGCAACATTTTAATAAGAGAATTTTTTTTAAAACCATATACTTGACTTAATTTGGATAAGATATCTGTATAAATATTTTCAGTACAATAATCAAATTAACATTTTTAATTCTAATATTTCAAAATTCACACCCATATCAATTGTTATTTTATTTGAAAATGTTAAATGCTGGGCGTCCGGGTTCCTTAAAGGAAAAACTCAGTACTCACTACCATTTGATTTGTGACCCTTGCAGTTTTTCAAAATCCCATATTATAGATGATTTAAATTACGAATTTAATTGATATGCACGGACAGTGTAAAATTTTACACTTTATACTGTCAATCAATCACTCTAGTATATCTCACCCCATCAGACTATAATTTTTAAATTAACGGTATGACATAGCAGATTAATAAATTCCTATTAGACTTATTATACACGGTCAATGCATATCAATTAAACCCTAAAATTAAACTAGAAAATACGGTGAGATTTATGACTACACAGTATGCAGTTAATAATCAACTCCCTGAGAGCCTGAATCCCATATCAATAGCTTAGTTGATGTGTTCTTGTAAGATGCAACGCCAACAAGGATATACAGAGCACTAACCAAAATAATGCAAAATGCAAAACTAAATTAACTGTATATCTGTTGAATGTAAAACCGATTGCCGATAATGAGGACGGCATCACAAAAAGTTGTACAAATGCACGTCTAGAATAAACCAAAATCAGCTTTCAATCATTGGTTCAGGACCAGATGTTTCCGTACGAGATTTGTTTGCTTGATGAACAGAGTTGAACAGAGTGTCCTTTATTACCTGCGTCCAACAAATTCACAATTGTTTAGCTGACTATAAATATTTTTTACTAATTATTCTTTTTCTGAGAGAAGGATGGTGTTGGCAATCACCTGTGACATTAAGCCGTGCACTTGCTCCACCGTTATCTTCGCACTATCCCGAGTGATCTTAGCGAGTGGAGATTCTTCCTGTAAATCAGTTAAAACTTTGGTGTCAGGCGGAAAATTTTAGGAGCGATGAAGGAGGACGATAATGTTGACATCAATAGTGTCACATTCACAGGTGATGGCTCAGAAAGTTAATCATGACAGAATAACATCAAATAGGTAACAGTTTAATATCCAAATGAATGGTTTGAGATTGATTCTATGCCAAGGGCATAGCATAGTGTCCATCATCATAGAAGGACAAAATCCACCGAAATTTAAAGCACATTTCAGAAGATTTGTTCTAGACTAAGAAACATTTATCTATACTAGTCCATAATGGAAAATGGAAAATTACAAGGCCGCACACAATCGTATCACGGGCATAAACTAATCAAACATCAAAAGTTGATGTTATTTTGTTTGTGATATTGCACTGTGTGGTCAGTGCACACAAAAAGGCTCTTTCTTTTATGAAACTTTTACAAAAGAATATGAAACAAACATGATGCTGAGGGATGAATGCATGAGTATGTATAGACTAGTAGAGATGGTGTTTGAATTAGACAAATAAACTGATCAAGTAAATCTAAGATGCCATGAGGAGAGTGAGCAACATCACAAATTAAAGCATCAGTTATTCAGAGAAAGAAAACTGATCAGGCAATATAAACGATTAAGTGCATCTCCAACCTTCATTATTGGACGCGCCATGACTCAGGGTCACAGATAATACCGCGTCATTCAGACAGCAGGGAACAATATAAGCAGTATTTCTGAGCATTGTTTTAAATATTTGAGGTAGATGTGAAAACTAGAACGGTTACAAGTTTTAAATTTGTCCTTCTAAACTATGGACCATGAGATGGAACATAAACAAGAAAACAAAGAATGTTCTCTTCCAAACAAAAACACAAAATGGAAAGATAAAAAATCCTTAGGTGCAGAAGCAACAGTTAGTCCTACAACTACAATCCCAATCTATCTGTATAACATCCAGGTCTTAATCTTGTGCTGTCAGAATTGACTGATGAAAGACAACAGGCACACAATTTTAGATCATCGGATGATCAATTGCCAAAAATGATTTGAATAAACTTGATTTTGTAAGCTGATGAGACAAAAATTTAGTTTGAAATGAAGTACTTTATGTCTGGATGTTTTTACTCTTAATTTATATCTGACGGAAAAAGCTACTTGATATCAATTTCTAGTCAAACCGAGGCTCAAAGGAAAAATTAATCTTGGTTCAAAGAAATAAAATATTTATATTTTTCCCAAAAACCACCTTACAGGGTATTGAAGCTAATTTAAGAATTTGAATGTAAATCCAAGCATGCTATATTCTGGCTGAGTTGGCAAGTGTCCAACATCCAGTTGGAGCACACGCGAATCTGCAATTAGTTGCACACATGTATATCAATTTTAAACTCCATTACCCCATAAGAAATGTCAAATGAATTCATTCCTGTTTGGACACAAGGTGATTCTAGAAGCTCTATATTATTGGCATCTGAGCCACCAAACCCAGAGAAACCTGATACATGCTCTTCTTCAAGTGAAAACCAAAAAGAACTACTTAGTGGTTACTAAATGATGATGATTCTTAATGTTCTACAAATTGAATTGAAGGTTTCAAAAAATGTTGAAACAAGCCAGTGGTATCTAACACAATATTCAATCATAAAATGAAAAGGCAAGAACCAAAACAAAGTTAAAAAAGGAACCATATGAGAAAGAAAAAAAGAAAAAAAACTAAACCCTTGACCCTAAGCAAAATATAGATGTAGATTGTAAAATGAAATTACAAAATATTGATGCAAGGTAGATCCAACGCATCATTCTTTCACACTCCTATTAGTGTTAAATATCAGTTTTGGCTCTCCACCGTGGCAAAATTTGTGAAGGATGGCAACGCCATATGCGGATATAGCAGCGCCATATGCGAATTGTTGGCTTTTAGTATCAACAACAATGCACACTCTCGTCACATAAAAATGTATAATGTGGTGTGCTGATCATATACATCATCATGGCTGGCTCATAGAAACGGGCTCAAAACTTCATCAACAAAAAGAAGAAACATGCCCAACATATGTCTAAATATATGCTCAAAACTTCAATGACTACATATGTACCTAAATATATGCCTTGCGTGAATGAATACTATAGTAACAAAACATCCAGAAAGGTTTTAATCAAAAAATTATTGCCATCCATTTCTTTCTTTCTAATCAAGCTGAAACACTTGAATAATCAAGCTGAAAATCTCAAAACAGAAATTACAACAATTAGACTAAGGGCATTGCAGTAGATTTAAGGAGAAACAATCACTCACTTCTTTCTTTCTAGGTGTAGGTGCTACTAATGGCCCGAAACGTGAGTGTGCCAATTGATTCTCTGCTTGTTCTAGCTTTTCAGCTGCAACAAAAGAAATATCCCGCATGACTATTCATAATTACAGATTATAATTACAGAAAATAACTAAAGAATGGCACTGAAGCGTACCTAAATCCGAGATTTGTCCAGCTACATAGTCTCCATTGCCCAATAAAGGAGAAGAAGACAGTGTATTCACCCAATATTTGTTCCACAGGAGATCCAAAAGGTGTGAATCAAGACTAGACTTAAAGTAAGTGATATCCAAAGAATAATACTGAAAGAAAAAAAACACACAAATGTAGTTGAGACAAAAATACAATAAAAAGGGGTTTAGGGTTTAGGGTCTGAAATGGGAGCAAAGAAAGAAGAGAAACCTGTTTACAATGAACACCAAAATCTTCAATCTTATTAAGAGGTATAGTTTGATACTCAGAAATAGGATCATCCGGAGGCTTATAACCTTCAGGGTAAGTCCTGAAAGCCCCAATCTCAACTTTCCCAGCAGAAACAGTCCTGGTCGGATCAATCACAACCGCCAAAAATGGCTCCTGAAATTGTTGATTCAACATCTGCGTCGAAACATCAATCCCAGAAAGCCAACAACCATAACCAGGATGAGAATGATACCATCCCACAACATTTTCCAACCTTCCAGCCTACACATACACACAAACACAAATAATATCAACTAATTAGGGCAAATTCAAAACTGTAATCAGAATTAGGGTTAGGGTTTAAGTGAAAATTCATAAATGTAATTAGGGTTAGGGTTTCAAATATAATCAATAAATTGAAACGACGAACCTGTTTATTGGTCTGAGAATAATCAACCATGTATTCATATGCATCAGCTTGAGCATTGACACGAGTTTCAGTACCTTCAACCGGCAACGCAAAAGCATCCATAACAATGATTGAATCAGCGTCAGTTTTACCTTGCATGAGACCCATAACCTCGATGGTACCACCGGAGCGCGCGTGAACAACCATCTTGAGTAAAGCGAGTGCAGAGATCTTGACGCGCTTGAAGTAGTGAGGATCGTTTGCCCATGGTTTATCGCGTTGAAACTCGCTCTGTCCTGCTTCGTCGTAGTGGAAAATCGAATCGTCGGCAGCGGGAGTTTCCATGGGGATTATGTTGTTCTCTAACTCCCATGTTTGTTGCGCAATCGCCGATGACGATGAAGGTTCCATTTTTTGTTCTCTCTCCGCCGTTCTCTCCGCCGTTGATCCTTTCTCTCCGGTGAGTGAGGGGAATTGGGAAGGTCACTACTCCGGAGTCACAGACTACTGAAGTGACGGTCCAGTCTAGGGGAGAGTAAAATAAAATTAACATTATTCTCATTTATATATAGGTTTTTACTTTTTTTATAGTGATTTTCAATTATGAAAAAAAATCACAAGTTCACTTTTTTAATAATATCTACAATTTTTATCAACTACCTACCCATTGCAAGGGATTCTCACCATTCTACCAGTTATACCCTTCACATTTAAAATTATTATGTCCAACTCAAGGTCATAACAGTAATTAACATATTCTATTCTTTCACCCGATCAGAAGAACCCATTTTGCTAAGTGGCAGAAATTTTTTGAAATTTTTTTACCATTTCCCTCTCCCTCTCACTCTCACCTTCTCTCGCTTACATTTCTCTCTCTTGCCTTTCTCTCCTCCGAAGTTCTCTCTTTCTCTCAAAATCCTAGACCGCCTCCACCTCCTTTCTCTCTTCCATTTTTGTTAATAGCTTATTTCAGGCATTTCATCGCATTCCTTGCAAGCTACAAGGTATGTCGTTATTCGTCTGCGTATTCATTTTGTAATGGCATGGTTTCATATTTTTGATTTCGCTTTGTTTTTTGATTCAGATTTATCATCATCACCATCGTTTTGTTTGTAATGACGCATCGTTTTTAATGGAACATGTATCTTCGTTTTACTATGTGGTATTCTGTGGTTTGTTGTTTGTTGTTCCATTCGTATTACCAACACTCAGGTTAGTTTCTTCTTCCTCAGTCTCCTTTCTGATCTCAAAGTTTTTCTTCTTCTCGTCAAGGGTTTTCTACTGGGTTTTTGAGGTTTTTGTGATTTTTATAGGAGATTAAAGCAACGCTTTGTGAAAATGCTTGTTGATAAGCAGCGCCGTGAGACAGAGGAGATTAAAGCAAAGGCTCAAATTTCTAATGCACAGCCTGATGACCTTATTGATTTCTACCATTTGAAGAGCATAAAGGTATGATGGTTGTGTTTATTTTCTCTCGTTTGTTTTGTTTTGTTTTGTTGTTAGTATGGTATAGTTGAATCATTGTTTCGTTGAATCATTGTCAAATAGTCTATTGAGTTGGGTGTTCTTTCTGTTGGTGGTAGTTTCTGTTAATGATTTCTAATTCAGTTATGTGCTCGGTACACCTGCTCATCTGGTTTTCTTCAAATGTTCAATTTCTTCAGGGCATGAGCCAACTTGAGCTGGAAGATGAGGTTCAGGATGATCTCAAACGTGCTACTGGAGATTTACAAAGGATGCAGATGATGCAAATAAACTCAACTGCATTCTTCAGCTCACTGGATTCAGTGATCCTGTTTATGCTGACGCATATGTCACAGTTCATCATTATGACATTGTCCTAGATGTTACTATCATCAATCGAACCAAGGAAACTCTCCAGAATTTATGTTTGGAGTTAGCAACTATGGGTGATCTCAAACTTGTTGAGCATCCACAAAACTATACCCTGGCTCCAGAATCAAGCAAACAAATTAAAGCCAACATCAAGGTTTCTTCAACTGAAACTGGAGTTATATTCGGTAACATAGTTTATGAAACATCATCGAATGTTCTTGAGAGAACAATTATTGTTCTTAATGATATCCATATTGATATCATGGACTATATTGCTCCTGCATCTTGTGCTGATGTGGCCTTTAGAACTATGTGGGCTGAGTTTATGAAACATTATCGAATTTGGAACTACGTCTCGGTAAATTCTACTATATTCTTTCTATCATTACATGAATTGATGATAATCTATAGTTATCTTATAGTATTTGATGATCTTGCAGGTAGCAAGTGAGACAACTACATTAGGAATGACATTCATAGCATTTTAGCACAGGACATGGTGATTTCAGTTGCAATTGATCAATAGATGCACACATGGTGATTTCATTTACCATCCTCTAAAGTGGTTCTAAATTGATCTATGACTAATGTTATTTTCCTGGTAATATATGCTATCTAATGTTATTTTCCAACTTGATCTACAACTTGTGTTTTGGTTTTTCGATGTTTGTTGAATTATCATGTTCTTTAAGAGTTTAAGAATTTTTGTTCAATAATTGAGAATCAAGCTTTTTGTTGTTGATTATTTTCATCAATTTATTATTAGTAACTTAGTTTTGTCAGGTTGAATACATCAACGACTCTTTGGATGATCACATTTGGACTAAGTGGAGCAATTGCTCAGATGAGCGGTTCTTCACAAACGCGTTAACGATGCTCACCCACTCAGTTCATGGTTTGCGGCTCAACTAAGTTTCATATTGTGTTCCAGTTCCAAAATTTCTGGCGGTTTCGGTGAGTTTCCATTTCGAAATTTCTGTCAAATAATGTCACCATACATTTTTCAGTAGATAAACTCAAATGAATCAATCCAAACATGCCCCTGGGTCGGTTTGAATTAGATTATTTGAATTTATCTACTTTCTGGCATAAACACTACTGAGACTGTTTGTTAAAACTTGTAGAAACAACTTCTGCCATTTACATAAGTTATTTTCAGCATATGCGAAAACCCGTTTGACTTTATCTTTCCTTATAAAACGACTTATACATGAGCACTTTTGTTTAAGTAAGTAGAGAGTATATGAATTTAGTAGGTTTTTTTGTTGTTGGGTATTTATGTTCTGCCTATAAACACCGTTAACAGAATGATAAATTCCTTCAGTCCAGAGTGATTGACCTATCTGGATTAGTTTCCTAATTATCGATTCAACTTTGTTTTTACAGTGGACATGATTTTTGCTATTGAATTTGACAAGTCTGGTGATCATCTTGCTACCGGTGACCGCGGTGGTCGAGTAGTTCTCTTTGAACGGATAGATTCAAAAGATGTAAGTCTGATTTTTTCATTTCTAAGCAAAACATATCAACTTAGTTTTGAATGATTCCTTGTAACCAACTTGGTTTTGCTAATATCTGTGTATTTACAATGTAATTTAGCAGCATGTATCAAGAAAGGATTTGGAGAGTACCGACTATTCTAATAGCCGGCATCCTGAGTTCCGCTACAAACGCGTTAACGATGCTTACCCACTCAGTTCATGGTTTGCGGCTCAACTAAGTTTTAGATTGTGTTCCAGTTCCAAAATTTCTGGCGGTTTTGGTGAGTTTCCATTTCGAATCATGAGTTACTTTCGAATCATGAGTTTTCATTTCGAATCATGAGTTACTTCCATTTTGAAATTTCTGTCAAACAATGTCACCATACATTTTTCAGTAGATAAACTCAAATGAATCAGCTGTCTGTGGATAATGTTGGCCACTCTCAGCTGTCTTCACCATTTACGAGGTTTATCTCTCCAAGTAGGTATGTGATGTCAAATATCAGTTACAATGCCATAGCTATAATGTGGTATTCTGTTCATTTTATATATAGGTAGTTTGAAGAAGGAATTGTGTAATTTAAGAAACTTGTCTTTATCGTAGGCATCTACCAGAAGGAGATAACGATTCTCGATTCAGTTCACCCCGACAAGGCTTGATGCCAATGCCTGAAACAAATAATTCGAATTCTTTGCTGAAGCAGGTACTAACTTCAGCTCTAATATTTCATCTTAAATCAGACATGATGTTTATGGAGCCATATGTGTATCTATTTCGGATCTGACCATTAAGGTCTGGAACATGAAGAAGAGATCATTCTATTAAGGAAACATCTAGCAAATTATTCTGCTAAGGTAAAGATGTAACTATGTTTTTAAAGTGGTGATGCACATATCTTTAGATTATATTTTGTCTTGATATCCATTATGATGACTGATGATTTTTCCATGACAGGAAGCACAAATAGGAAATGAAAAATATGTCTTGGAAAAGCGCATAGCGTATATGCGTCTGGTATGCATGGAATTTTTGAAGTCCTTAAACATCCTTATATGTTTCCCTTCCTCTATATTTGAATTTTTTTACTATGCTTGTTTAAAATATTTGTAATGTTGTTTCCAGGCCTTTGATCAACAGCAACAAGACCTTGTAGATGCCGCATCAAAGGCTTTATCATACCGACAAGACATAATTGAAGAAAATATACGGCTTACTTATGCATTGCAGGTTATTTTTCCTACACGTTTCTTCTTGTTATTGGGTGGTATATGTTGAAATTTGTGTGATAACTTGGTTGTTCTAACTTAATATTTTTCAACAAATATTCATGGGTAGTACCTTCTTTTGTTGTGTTTCATAATAAATATTTAAGTTTTTTGCGTTTTCTTTTTCCTATCAGGATGCACAGCAAGAAAGGTCAACATTTGTTTCATCATTGCTGCCTCTTCTTGCAGAATACTCCTTGCAGCCACCTGTTCCTGATGCCCAGTCGATTGTTAGCAATGTCAAGGTCAGTTTTAGCCTGTTCCTTTCGGGAAATAAGTAATGTTGTTTCTCTTGCATAAGGACTTTCAAGTTCGAGTATAACCTAAAAATATGACACATGTATGTATTTGATATCTTTCATACCTATCTTTCTCACTACGAATGAAACATAGTTGTCAGTATGTATTTAATATCTTTCATACCTCTCTTTCTCACTATGAATGAAACATAATTGTCAGCATTAGTGCTTATAGTGCCACTGTTGCAGAAGAGCACCGCAGAGTGGCACCGACTAACTTTTGTTTCACATTTTTTGAGCATTTTAAAGTAGCAGAGATGCAGTCGGGCATCCCAGAAATCAAAACCCTTTCTGCCACTATTTCAAGCTGATCTTTTACCAGGTTGGTTCTTCTTTCATGTGAATTTCTTGTCATTTTGAGTCCATTCCTTGATTATTCTTGTAGGTTATGTAATGATGACGAAAATATCATGAAGATGAGAGAACTTGGAGTCATGAAAAGTAGGGAACGTTGGTATTAAGACAACTTTTGTGGCTTAGAAAGCTCATGGGATCCTTAGCTCTAAGTTCAAGTATTTGTCATTTTAAG